CAGCGGGGGATTGGCTCTGTGAAGTATCTGTGAATCTTTCCTGGCATTTGTGAATCTATTTGGTATTCGAAAACATTTTAAAACTATCACAAATAACTAAGTGTCTGGGGTTGATATTATGTGTCGGAGCTTTGAAATTGGTCACTCGAGTCATAAGCGGATCCATCCAATATGCTAGTTTTCGATTGAATACATGCCTTCAGCATTTAAGACATATATCCAGATGCATCAAGCAAACCAGTTTCAACAGCTTTGCAAACTCAGGCATGCCGATGGGCTTGAGCGTGTCTGAATCGAATCAAACCCTGGAATGTGCACAATATTAGTGACTGTTTTCTGGCCCCTTAGAATTGAGCATCGCTAGATTGGATTGTCTTTCAGAATCTAGATTTTTTGTTTGACTGTAGGTGTGGGTTACTTTTTAAGTATATGTGTCTAGACAGCATTGACTATTAGGTAACACAACAGCATACAAAAAGGATGACCAACCCTGCTAGAGTATGAGAAATAGACTTAAAAGGGCTATTTTCCAAGTGTCATGTGTATATGGAGATATACCTGTCTCATAGAACTGAAGGGACCTTCCTTGAAAAGTCATTGAGTCCAGTCCCCTGCCTTCACAGCAGGACCAAGTACTGTCCCTGAAAGATTTTGCCCCAGATTCCTAAATGGCCCCCTCAAGGCTTGAACTCACAACCCCAGGTTTAGCAGGCTAATGCACAAACCACTGAGCTAGCCCTGCCCCAACTGATCTAACCCTCTCTAAAGTGGCTTTACCTTGGCCTCAAATGCTGCATGTTTGCATACCCAAAGTTTGTGGCATGCAGTTTTGAGCTGAGATTGTGGGTTTACCCACACTGTGGCGAGGGCAAAGACACTTAAACTCATTCCAGGTGTTCAAGGAATTTGGCAGGTTAATAAAGCCAACAGCATGTCCAGTCACACTGACCTGGGCTTGCTCCTGAAGACCTGAGCAAGTCTAAGCAATCAGCAGTGGCCCCAGTCAGTGGGTGCACCGTGTGCATTACCAGACCCAAGTCTTGAACGACGGTCCTCACAGTCAATTAGCAGCGAGTCTACTAGGGTCAACCAAAACAGTGATTTCTTCTAGCCAACCGCGTGGACTAATGCTAGGCTTGTTACAAAGACCCAGTGACTTCAGCTGGAGCCGCAAGTGCTCAGCACATCAGAGAATCAGGCC